CTAACTCTCATGTCGTGTTGTGTGTGTGTTGTGTTATGTGCTACTCCATTGTTAACGAGATGAAGACAGAGAACTTGCTTTACTTTTACATGTGGCGTGGCATTATGGTCTCTGTACTTTAGTTAGTGAGCCTTTAGAGATTTGGATTCGAGACACGGACATTATTTTTACTTCATTTTTACTACAGTTACACAACACAAAAAGTTGGAGAGAGAGTGATGTGATGTGATGATGCCATATGAGGGAGTGGATGGATGGATGGTCAAAACTTGGAAGAAGGGTTGTTCTCGTCCAAAGTAAAGTAAATGTCAGCTCGGTCAGTTAGTTTGTCTGTTAAATAAAATGTCTCAGTTTTCTAGGTACAAATGTGAAGTCAGTAAGTGCATGGGTTTGGTCCAGTTCAGTGTGCAATGAGATGATTTGTATTCGAATTGCATGGAAACTGTATGTATGTAAAAGCTTGAATAATTTTGATGCCGTTTAGAAATTATGTGATCGGTTAATAATTTATTTTACTGTTCAGATGATGGTGCGTGTTGCTCGAATGATTTAAAAGGTGTAACATTGTTATATTTACATATTTTGAATGTTGAATGGAAATCCTGTAAAAAAAATTTGTTATAAATTATTATTAGTAAAATTATTATTATTGATTGGCTTTCCTTTGTACGAATCGAATCCTTTCTTGCAGCATGTACATATCCAAATAGTCCATATCTGCTTAATGGAACCTCGTGTAAAGCAGAGTAAAATGCATACCAAAATCCAGGGGTCCACAAAAATACAAAAGAGTACGTAAATGTCAGTCAGGATGGTCTCAACTGGTTTGGATTGGTTACAGTTAAGTAAAAAGAGGTTGAAGATCCCTCCCCCTTTTCGACCCACAGAAGAAGAAACGAGTTCTAGGGTTCCATTTGCGTTAAGGGAACAACATGCATTTTACTCATGAAATACCAATCTCTACTATAAGCGAAGCTACATCAGTCATCCATGCATTTTACTTGCTTTACTTGCCGTGTGTTATATGTCATGTCGTCTGAGGAGATGGTGTAATAGTTGGTGGCCGAGAATAGAGCTAAAACTTGGCGTGAATTGCATATAGTTCCGTGGAAAATATATTGTTGGCTTTTTTTGTAACTCTATTTTCCTTAAGTGTTAAGTTTTGTCTGATAACAGATGCTGCTGAATGAAGGGCGGGGGGTTCTTGCTTATTTACCTTATCGCAACCTATCTCGACATTGACAAACTAATGGATTTGTCACGTTTTTTTAGGGATGAGTGAAATTATTCTATTTATTCCTGCCTTTAATTAAAGTATAAAAAGGTGGGTTGGATGGTGAGGAAGGGGAAAATATGAAATTAATATTTAATGAGGATTTTGCCCTTCAATTTGATTTTTTTTTGTGCAGAGATAATAATTCAGAGGGGTTGCTTTTGTTGGTGAAATGTTACACGTGTGAAAATTGTGCGTTTTCCTGAATTTTAAAGAATTCGGTACGAGCAACAATGTATCTAATTGAGGCTGAAAGACTTGGTTAGCATGAATTTTATCATTCAAGAAGATCCATCTGAAATTATTTCATTTGACAACTTTGACATTTCGTATATTTCTTTTTTGGAGTAGAAACTTCTCAAATTGCAAAACGAGAAAAAGTATCATTACCAAATCAGTAATTTTAAAAGGCAACGAATTTTACGAGCTTGAAAAATCAGCCAAATTTTATAATTTGCAATTATTCTTTACACATTTCACATATTGGCGTCTCCACTCCACCACTGGTGCGTCATGGTTGATTGCATTTGCACATTTTGACAAGGTATAATTTACCAGGGAAGATTTATGGCGTGTCTGAAAAACTTTGGCTCGGTACCTATTCCACCATTCACTTTATTCTTGGCATTCATTTCGAAACGGACAGATTTTTCTGTACGCCTGTAACGTCAAAATACATATTTTGCAACAACTAGCATATTGAAATAGCATACAGATGGGTATTTATTTTTGTACGAGTCTTGAAAAAATGGAAAATAACGGAACCATTTTTCTTAATTTTTCGGAAAACTCGATTAACTCGTAAGAAATGTAAGAAACCGGAAATATAAAATGGACCCCACCACATCACCCTCAAGCAAATGACAGGTTTTCATGAAGATCGCATCAAAATCTTCCATTAGTGTCCGTCATGGCTATTTATTAGCTTAAAAATCACATTTAAATTTAGATTAGAATCATCCCCTTACATTAAAAAAGAATCTTACTCTAAATAAAAATTTATTAGTGTGTCGACCACTTCTTGTTCCCACTTTTTTGGGCCCGGCTACTGAACCCCATTCCATTATTTTAATTTGGCTGCTACTTGCTACACCCGTTTTGCCTCTCTGTTTTTCTCTTTTATCTCTCGCCATGATCAGAAATAAATGTTGAATAAAGTGTTCAAACAGGGACATAGTATTACGATTACATTTACCAATTAAGACGTAAGTGTAGCTAACGTCATGCGCTGCCACCAGCCAGCCAGACCAGCCATCATTTTCCACCATCGTGTCATGTGTGTACATACAGCTAAATTTGGCGTCGTACTACTTATTTACTTACTCGTCGACATTTTATATTTGCTCTCGACTAACAGGTTTCCTACACTTTTTCGTCCTTTTTTTCTTCTAGTCAGTCATGAATCTCTACATTTTATAGTGGTTTGGTTGTTGATTTTCTCAGCCAGCACTGTCTTTGTTTTGACGAAGGGATTAAGTATTTAAGAGTTAAGTAAAGGCGACCAAAGTGGTGGTTGCATGGTGTCGTGTCTAGAATTCCATTTGGCTGTTGGTTCAGGGTATAAATTACATTTTGGCTTATCACTTTACTCACTTGGGTGGGAAATATCTAGGAACTCGCCATGTCGTGTGTGTTTGTGGGGGAGCCATAAAAAATTCGATACGAGAGTAGAACCAAGTAAAATTGTGGTTATGAAGAAACACGATTTTTTTGCAGCCAGGGGTATGAATTTCGTATTTTTGTGGGGAGAAAGCCATCGCGCATTCATGAAGAGGACAAAGAATTGTGTGCATAAAGAAGGGGAGTGAAACTGTGATGGAGTAACGGTTTGGCTTCAGCGAAGTTTACGAATCTGTGACGAGATGGGGTAAAGAAGTCGTCTGCCTGGTTTAGTTTTCGGTGTCACTTTTCTCATGTCTTGTATTCCGTGTGTAAAAAGGTTTGGAAGTGTTTTCGTAAAATAGAGTGAAATGAAATTTAATGAAATTTAATTTTGCACTTTTTACCGACCTATCTGAAGTTTCCTATAAATATTTAATCCTTATCTAACTATTTCGTTTCGGCGTATTAATTACACTTACATTTGCACAAAAATTGTAATCGGCTGCCTTAAATAGGTTTTTAATATTTATCATAATTACCACCGTCTTAGCCATATCTTGGGTACTTACCACTACTTACATATATTTAGGATTAAGTGACCTTCACTTTTTTCGGATGATAAATGCCAATTCAGTAAGTGGATAATTATGATGATGATAATGAAGGATTAGCCGAAACCATAAAGCCATGTACCTCGTTTGCAAGTCATTTTGATTGCTGATGCTGCATGCATATTTCTTCTGTCATGCAAAAATTATGATGAATGATGGTTGTACCACCAAGAAGAAGAAAAATAAAAGCATCGTCTCCTCCTTTCATCCAGCAAGTAAAAATCCAACTTGATCCTCTGTTTTCATAGGTTGGTTCGTTGACGATAAGATAACACAATAATATCTGTCTTCTCACGGTCCGTCGATCCGGCGGCTAACATCACTCACTCTGAAAAAACAACTCCATGGACTTGGTCTCAAAAATATTAGACTGCTGGGTACGAAACCTGACTCGATTTTGCAAAATGATTCTTGTTGACTTGCACAAAAATGCAATATGCCAAAAAATTGTGGCGAAATGAGCCAATCGATTTACCGAAATGATTATGTATGTATGAATAAGCAGGGTGTTGAATTATATCGAGTCTACGATTTGCTGTGTGTAGGATCGAGTTTCAATGATGCCGATTGTCTTGAGTTTATTCATCCAAATTACAAGCAAGTGCGGGTACAAGTACCTCATCAGGTTTATTAGACTAATAATCAGACTGGTTCGTATGAGAGAGGATTAAAAATCGGGGAAAAATTGCTTTATTTATTCACCGTCTAGGAAATGTTTTCAGTCCGTTACTTGAAATTCAATGCGATGGACGAACATCGCCACCAAAACAACGGTAGGAATTATTAAATCCAATATTTTCTTCCATGTCGTAGCTAGAGTTGAAGCAAGGACAAAAATAGCAGTGTAATATGTACAGCATATGATATATTCGCGACGATGATGCATTATCGACCTTGGCAATCTCGATTTGAGACAGTGCCACTTTATTGGTGATTGTTTTTTCGAATCATAAAAAACAGGGGTATGTACATACATGCACGCTGAAATATTTATAAAAGGCAGGCCGTGCAATACTTATAATGGAGGTGGCCCAACGTATGCTCACAGATTTAGGCCAAAGTAGTGCGAATTGATCAGAAGTATGAAATTTGCGAAAGGCACTATTTGCAAATGGTTAAGTTTGGTGGAAATATTTACATCCGAAGAGGAGAAAATGCGGAATAAATTTGAAAACTGTAAAATTTGTTGACATTAGGGCGCGTTTTCGCGTCGTTGGACGCAAATATCTCCGCCAAATTTGAGCATTGGCAGATTGTACCTTTCGCAAATTTCATATTTGTGATCGATTGGCACTACTTTGGCCAAAATCTGTGAGCATACGTTGAGCCACCTCCATTTTTACAAGTAACAGTATCAAAGGAGCAAAGAGCATTATAATTTCTGGAGAAGGTCACAGTTCAACAGGACCTCGCTGCCGCCTTTGTCGGGCGAATAGATGCGAAAATATGTCTCGCCGTCCACATTCCTTAATTAGGCATGAAGAAATGAATGAATTCGCAATAATTTTTGCACATATGGTTCTGACAATAACGAATGATCAGCTTTATTCTTTCAGTAAATAATCATTCTCATAATTCTCCTTGAGGTGGACTTAAGCTAAACTTACGACTTTTTTGTCTTACATGCTAACTCTTGCTTGCTCGCTTTTACACAATTTCCACATAATAATTATATTATTCACAAGATGATGAGTTTAAACTAGATCTATGTTAAATTAAATTAATCAATACTAAAAGTAAATGGCAAAAATTTTCATACAAAGTACAGTAAAATACAGACTCATGATTCTAACGATATATTTAGTCTATTACTTTAATTACCTATTTTTATTCTATAATATTAACAACTTCTCACTAGCACATGACGAAACACGACTATATCATCATCATAATAATTAATCAATCTCGCATCGTCACTTACTTACTTTTTAGTTCCACCAGCAATAGCAGCAGCAGCAGCCAGCATTTATTTCATTCTCCAATAAAAACATTATGTACATGAAAAACTACACGTGAATTTATAAATTTTTACTTATTTGTATATGCTACATATCTTTGTAGTAATACAGTAGTAGCAGAGCAGCAAAAATCAAAAAACGGAACACAAAGTTTCTCTTAAAAAACTTGACTTTTTCCATAATTAATATGTACCTTTTTACTCGTCATCATTAATAATTTGTTACTAATTATTAGTAATAATTAGCTTCATATTTAGTGTTTAGTAGGAGGAGGAAGTTGAAGAATCAATTACTTTTTATGCAAATAAATTCATTTATCGCTCATTGCCCCAATTTTGTCACATATACGCAATTTATGTACCTAACTAGTTACAAGATAACCGTGCACATACATAGACACACACGACAGTTAAAGAGATACAGGTGATGAGACCATACAAAAGGTTATGTTCTGATTTAAGTTATTAGGACTTTTTTACGCTACTAATCTTAATTATCAATTTAGCCTGGGCCGTTAAGATACTGTGATGGGAAGTCAGTGCATCCAATAATTTAAAAAATCTCAATTGTTTCATGCGTATTTTATTTATACGCATTTGGATTTATTTCTGTTGAGGTAGGAGAAAATCAAATCTGATCGTGCCAATAATAACTGATAATAAATAAAACAATTTGCAATGGAATATCTAAAATTTTTGTAACACGGTGAATTTGTAGCGTTCAAGGTAAACTTGGTGGTCGACGGAAGGAGTGAATAACTATAATTCAATAATACACTTGTGTGTATTTCTGATCAGGATAAAACACTGTTTATAGCCACCGCTAATTAATGAGAGTTGCACAGCACGGAAAAACAACCATTTTTCTTTATATAAAGGATATTATATATTGCCCACTGCTACACTTTTTCAATTAAAATTGCACACAGAGGTCTATGGGTACACAAAGTTTGTGATTAATGAACGTAATTGCCTTGTTTTAGCGCATCGTTATATTCCACTTATCATCAGAGAGAGAGAGAAGTAATAAAATGATAAATAATTGCCGGATAGAAAAATCTAACGAGGTGAGGATATGCTTTCGGGGCAATAAATCAGACTGGTTTTTTTGCTTTTAGTGTAGAAAACTAAAATCTGGGTGGTTTCGGAATTATGCTAAAATTATAATATTAATAATTCGTGGAGAGAGAGCAGAATTTAATGTAATGCTAAAAATTATTATTACGGATTGATCAAGTGCAGGTAAAACAATGGGAAATCAGAGTATCAAGTCGCCCCTTATTCATTTACAATGTGAAGAATCCCGATAAAATATTAAGTTCCGAATGATAATGCGAAATAATAAAATAATAAAAATTATTAACCCTCGTCCTTTTGTTTCTCCCTTGTTTTTCTTTCGTTGTTATTAAAGCTATGCACACACAACGCAACGATACAATTATTTTTAGATACATTCTTTGTCACAGGTATGTAATATTAATTATGTATAATTATTATAAAAGTGTTAAGCCTAGCGTAAGTATAAAGCATGAATTATGCAAGTTGAAATAATACTGATGAGATCAAACATTTATTGATTTTTTAACCCTAAAAATTGGTACTATTTTCTGTAGTAGAGAGATATTTATGTATGTAAATATGTATGTAGTACTTTTTACTAGTAAATAGTGGATAAAACATTGTTCGAAGACATGCAAGACGAATTTGGATCAAATTTAGGGTAAAATTTGCAAAGATGATTATTGGACGCGAAAATAATTGTAAAATTTTTCTCCTAGTTTAGCGCCAATGAAATAAATGTGCAATTTAGCCAATTATATTCGCCCAAAATTTTAGGTGATGTCAATTTACGTCCTGGCAAGATTTTTAGCATTTTTAGTATTGTTTGGATAAATAATGGTGTCGAAAAATCTACGTCGTCATGTCTTGATGGACTCGTTTGGAAATGTTTTAAAACCTATCTTTACTAACTCTGGATTGCTATTAAGACCTGTAAATTTCTAGTAAAAGTAAGTTTGTCTGACTCATTATTATGCATTTCATTATTAAATTTAAGTAATCTCTTCCCCTTTCTCCCCAACTTTTATTTATGCTGTTGAAGAAGAATGAGAGAAAAAATTACTAATTTTTTGGTTTTGATTTTTTCATCAGAATCAAGCATAAAACTTACACAACTATTTGTTTGTCTGTTTTTCTTACTCAACACAAGGACAACTTTCTCTTCCGCGGCATCACCCTTATGTATTTATTTACCTGGTAGTGATGAAAGTTGGATTTTTGTCGCAATATTGACGGACTCATGGTTATTAGATAAAAAATTAATCTACATTTTGATTGAACAACTAGAATTGTTACAAACTTAGAGAGAAAGAGAGAGAAGAGAAGAAGGTTGATTTGGTTTGTGTGGGAGGAGGAGGATCTTCTACTTCTTCTTCTTCGTCTTAATGTTTTTGATGATGGCCGTGGTGATGGTCTTGAGCGTGAGAACCGGAATTGTTCGCAGCCTGTTGCGCCGCCTGTCTCTGACTATTTTTCTTGTTCTTCATCCTCCTATTTTGAAACCAAATTTTGACCTGGGGACAAAAAAAATAAGGTTTAGTAAGGTTTAAATTAAGAGTGGGCGGGGTGGGGAAAGTTGACTTGGGCCAAAATACTGGTAGAGAAGAGAAAGTCGTGCGAGAGAAAGTATTTCTCCGTGTGTGGTGTAATGGATGACAGAGGAATTCAATTAGAGAGATGGCCTTCCTTCCACCAGTGATCGTGGGTGGTGGTGAGAAGGAAAGCTAATGAAATGAACAAGAGATAAAGTGCGAGGAGAGGATTATATCCGTCTCTCTCGTTTCACAGATCATCTCCAAATCTGGAAATATTGGACACCGACTTTCACTTGGAACTAATGCACACGACGACGACGACACGAACTTCTACTGCGGAGCGGAGAAAGAAAAAAATATTTGGGAAGAAATACTTCTCTTTCTGCAAGGGGGAAATTTAGTTGTTTAATTCTCTCACTTTTTTTAAGACGGGGAGAAAAAAGAAAGTAAGTAAGCTGAAAGTCAAACTGTGTGCTTTTCCACCACCACCACGAAAGGTATAAAGACCCCGATTAATTACTGGGTTGGTTGGGTTATCATTTTCGCTATTTTCTCTTACCTGTCGCTCAGTAAGGTTGAGGTTGCGGGCAAGTTCCCATCTTTTCTGTTTTGAGACGTAGGCATTGAAGAGGAACTCTTTTTCCAACTCTAACGTTTGAAACTTTGAGTATGGCTTCCTCTTCTTCCTCACCGTCACGTTGCCCGTCCATTCCAACGGGTTTGACCCCACGGGGACGCCTGGAAGGAAAATAATAAGGTAAAATTAAATACAGGTGAGTACATAATCTCACACTCCTCCTGACCCTGACCATTATCATCACCGTCATCTTTATCTGGATGGAAACGTGCGCTAACTCCCTCCATGTAAATAAGTACATGCATCCATACAGTGTATGGGTGGCTCTGGCTCCATTTAATTAATTAGTCACAGTCACTAGCGACTACCACGCATTTAGCTATTTAGTTTCACACTCTCGCTCCATTTTGAACCTTCACTCATGTGCAATTCCCTCCTTGGAGAGGAGAACTTTGAATTAATTTGTTGAGCCACTTAAATTACGTACCTCGTCACCTTCTCGACTTGTTTGCTTCTATCTGGGCATTCTTCTGCCTCTCTCAACCATTTCATGACGTGACGTAACACCGAAAAAGAATGAGTTTTTAGGCACAGTTTAGTGTGAATATGTACGTATGTAAGAATCATCTGGGACAGTTTGAGTCAAAATATTCAAATTTATTCTTCCAAAATCTGAACATGGATTTCACCACTTTTTTGATGGAAATGTTTTTTGTCTTTGTACATATTTTCGTTATCATGGCGTGGCGTGTGGTGGTTTTTGGTTGGTGTGTGTGGCTTCTCTTTTGGCTGGAGTAATGATTGTGTGAGATAAAGAAAGGGAATTATCATCGACGACTGACTGGTTGACTTTGCTTGGTTTCTCTGGAGTAAATCCCCGAGAGATTGTTTGAGGAAATCTCCCAGGATTATTTCTCCACAGAGTCCACAACAATGTAGCTTTTTTCCTTACTTACTACATGACGCGATGAGAGAGGAATGAAGATGAAAAAAGTCGACTTGTTAAAACATCTTGCAACTCTCTCGAGTGCAAATGGATGAAGACATTTTTCAAAGAAAATACAGAAAAATATTTGTGGTGGTCTAGTCACAAACGACATATTTAACAATAGAATTCACCACGTAGTGTGGTTTTCGCTGTTATGTGTGCCATTTATATTATTGCATTTTTGAAATATTGGGTTTCCCGAGGTTTTCATGCCCTTTTTCGTGCATGATCCCCCCTAAAGAAACTATTCGAGGACGAGTCGGTCTCTATTTTTTGTAAGGTTTTGTCTTGTCCTAAGTAAGTTGGAGAAATCTCTTTGTGTATCGTCGTCGTATATGATGACGATGAAAGATGACGTGATGTGATATGACGGAGGAGGAAAGGAGACGTTATGTTGCGGCATGATTTTTGTCTGAAAAAGGAAAATAAGAATCCTCTCAGCTTAAATTGTCACTCCCACTTTCTTTCCGTATAAATAATAAGAAAGCTTATGTAAGAAATGGTATATTTCCAAGAATCTAGAATAAAAATTTGGAAAATTTTGACTCATACTTTATACTTTTTATTACCATTTTTGAAATGGTGGTAAGTACTAAAGTGTAAAAGAAAAGAGCGAGTGATAAATTTATTATTGACATAATGGGCAATTGAGATGGGAGTTAAACAGCCCATGAAAAGTAATTGCTGCTTGATGAACAACTAGACATGGACACAATAATAACAGCACGGCATGCATGCCATGTATGTTATGGCTAACTAACCAACTAACCACCTTTACAATCTATCACCGTTAATTCGTGATTACTTAACGTGAGCTAAACAAACAGCTCGACCATGTAATTAATCTCGACATTCTTTCTCGATTCAGCACTTAGCATCAACAATTCAGTTATTATTTGTCTGCAGTCCCGTTTGTATTATTTTTTATTCTGACGAGAAGTTTGTCGCCAAAATAGCCATTAAATACATAGGTAAATGTCTATTTATTTGCATGCACACAAATTTTTCTACAATCTATTTTGCTAAAATTGTTATTTTTTTTACTCATTTTCTTGTTTGTCCTTTAAATAATGGGTTTATACGTAAAAAAATAACTCGTTATTCACTTCTTCTGGCTGCGTATCTGCTAATTGCTCACTTTTCTTAAGCAAACAAAGACGCAAAACTGGATGATTTCCCATACACGGAATGAATCGTCACCTCATAAATGTATATATTCGCCTTTAATACAACGTATAAATATTTATGCAATATGTATAAGAATGTATTTTCCTCTTTCCTGGCCTGAATTAACTAAGTTTAACCATAGCAGTTCGACCAGTTTAATCAGGATTAGATTCAATCCAACACACAACCAGGTGCAATAAATTAATAAAACTATAATCTCTCAAAAGAATCAAAAATTTCGTTTTGCGTGGCACAAAGGACACCTGAAGGATAAGTTGGATAGGAAAATGGCTTGTATTTTAGAGTGGTTCTTGCCTCTTGAGACTAAGCAAAATTGCACATAAAATGTTTCACATGATCATAATTATCTCGTCTGAAAACCGCACTTAATAAATTGATCTACGTTACTTTTGCCAATGAAATATTACGTATTTATTATTGTTAGGGAAGCCATGCAGTCTGACGAGGCGTCGTTGTCGTGTCGTCAAGTATTATTATTAGTGCAATTGTTTGCAAATTATATCAATGGGTTAAGAATTAAGGTTGCCGTTGCACCAATTGTCAAAGTCATGTCATGTTTTGAAAACAATGTATCAATTATTTTTGATGTTTGATAATGCAATTGTGCCTACGTTCATATGTTTTTGGACGTAAAAATACAGCTGGCTGGTGAATAAATGATTCTATTAATCGAGCTTCAATTTTGGAGAATAAAATCCCTTTTTGTCCAACGCCGACTCATTGTTTGGGCCAAAAAGTCCTTAACGAAAGTGAAATCGTAAAAAAATGCGGAATTGAATAATACAACAAAATTTTGTGGCCTTCAATTCTTGACTTTTAACTTTGATCACAATTACAATTGTGTTGTTTGTTCAAATTTGTGGTAAAGAAGGTCCACTTGCTTTTGGGAACAAAGGATTTAACAAACAAGGGTTGAAAATGTTGGAAAAGATGGAGACGCTTTTTGCCAACCAGAATAAATATAAATGCATTATTTTCTTAACTTGGAATTTGGTTGGTGTTGCATTATCGACAATAAAATTAATACGAATTGTTTGAAACAAGTCAAAGAAAAATGCCGACCAGCAAGTAACCAAGACTAAAATGTAGATGGTGATGATGGCGATGATGAAAGGATTGAATTATTCGATTTGATATCAATTTCACGTTTTTGTACACGAAAAATGTAATCTGACTGCTTTTTGTTTTGCTAAAGTGGACGAATGACAAGTGCATGGTGTGGTGTGATTTCAAATACATATTTTCTGAATTTTGTAAATTAATTCAGACGCCAAATTATTACATAAAAATCATTGGTTTCGAGTCTGTCTTCTGATTGAATTAAGCAGTTTGGCAATACTTTAACAGCCGAATAACCGCCCACATTGTATAATTGGTTCGACATAATTTTGGCCAACCCCCACCACAGCAGACAGACAGTGGAAAATGGGATATCGTCATGTACAATCTAATCGCAATCATTTTAATAAGAGCAACGACGACAACGACAACTTCGACGATGAAATAATTGGTTTACTTAACGAGACGAGAAGAATTTGAGATGAATGAAACGGATAGAATAAGTTTATACAAGGCAGCAGAAAAAATTGTAAAAACTAAAAGTCCGTCTAATTGGCCAACTTGGTTTTCAACTGGCATCTCCACATTTGTCTATTTAATATTTACCAGGTAGGCAAGTCGGTTTGCATGTATGTACCTGACTTACATACACACGGACAAGGCGAAATAATACCCCTCCAGCCATCAGGCAGGGATAAGATCTAATCTTCTTCTGCTGCTGGTTGGTTCACTTGCTTGCTTCTTTACTTGAATTTCTCCATTGTAAAGGAGAGACCGGTGCACATCAAACTATTAGCCTCCTCATTAATAAGTGCGTATACTAAGTAAATGGTAGCTTGAACAGCGTGACCATAAGTTTAATGTGAAAAAAAATCTTTAGAAAAATTACAAAATTGTGCATGTCGTTTAATTATAAAGGACCCCACAATTTTCAACGTTTCGCTATGAATTTGCCAAATTTAGGGATCAGGAGCATATTCACTTGGATGATTTATTACAAAAATATCCATACCTTTGCACAGCTGTCCTCTAAAAAATAATCGAGATCGCTACTACATATTTACCCTTCCATTTTTCCACCCTTTCCACTACTCGATCATCCCGAATAGATAAATACCATCCCGTTTAATCCCATCGCAATCCACAAATTACTCCCTGCCACCCAACGCGGCGAGTAATCACTCTCGTCTTCTCCGGGTGTGATGATGATGCGATTATGTAAATGTATTCCATCCTTTCTCACTTTCTTTCAGGCAGGCAAGCTCTGAATTTGGGAATATTTAATCAAACGAGTAAAAGAATTGAAATAGATGGCCGAGCCGAGTTGCAGAAGGATCTCAGGATTCAGAGGAGGAAGTTTTTCTGCCATTTTTTAGTGAATCGTGTTGAATTGGAGCGGAGAAGAGATGAACAGAATGTAAATATTTAGATTAGCTTCTGGATGAAAGGAGCCGAGAGGTGAGACTATTTACTCTAGACCCATCCCAATTGAATCGCTGCCTCATCAATGCACCTCATCACATAACATAACACACCCAACCAACCAACGGATCCTGCTTACATAATAACGCATCGATGGGTGTGGATCCATACGGGAAAAATGGAGGCAAACTTACCGCTTTCGTGGAGAAAGTTGAACTATGAAAAGTTTCCCTGCACAATTTCGATGATTAGTTATTAGTTACTCGCACCCCTCGAGGAGGAGTAATTACTACCAACCAAACGCTTAAACGGAATTGGATGAGGGACCAGTCTCGTTGTAGCCGTGCTGTTGAATTTAAATCTGGAAATTACGAATTTAAACATTGACGACATCGATTCGACTCCTACTTTTGGACGAGTGTCCTCCTCACTCACTCATAAATTAGGAGCTCTGGAGCTACCACGAGCTCTACCTCGCAGGGAGGTGGTATTGAAGAAAATGTC